CGTATGGTTCGAGTCCCAGGAGTGGTATTCTGGCACGATTGAGGGTCAGGACGCGACAGTCGAATCTGTCGTGGTGTTGAAGTCCCAGGAGCGGTGGTCTGGCACGATATAGGATTGTCAGGATGATGCAATTGTCTCGTTGATTCGTAGTTTTGAAGTCCCAGGAATGTTGTTCAGGAGCGATTGGCGATTGAGGATTCTCAGGCGGTTGTCCTCCACTGGAGCCCTTCCTGCAATGAAGGTACATGTTTGCATGGGCCTACTGAGGAGGGAATTTGGAAGGAGGGAGGGTGTATTGCAACGTCGTTGATGTGTCTTGGGTTTGCGCTGGTCCTCCGACGTCTCCTCCCTTCATCCCTTCCTCTCTCCCTCCCTCAGCTGCTCCCGCTGCCGTCCCCGGGCCGGCGATCGGAATGCGCCCCCGTGCAGGCGGCGTCGCCCGCGCCGCCTGCGCCAGAGCAGCGCGCGCCGGTCACACCGGAAGGGCTGAAAGGCGGGAGTTCGCTGCGCCCTTGCCGGTCGGGGAGGGAGGGTCCTCTTCCCTCTCTCCATACTCTCACCTTCTCCCCCTTCCTCCCTCTCTCCCTCCCCCCCTTCCTCCCTCCCCTCCTCCCTCCCTCCTGCCTTCCCCCTCTCTCCTTCCTCACTCTTCCCTCCTCCTCCTCCTCCTCCTCCTCCTCCTCCTTCCGCCCTTTTCATTCCGCTCTTCTCCTTCTCCTTATTCTCCTCCTGCTTCTTTTTCCTCTTTCCTGTCCTTTCCTCCCTCCTCCTCCCTTCACCACCCCTCCTCCTCCTTCTCCGCCTCCGGCAGATCACTGTCAATTTCGCCGGGAATAATCAAAACGTGTTTTTTGTCCTCCTGCTCGCCCGCCCATCCATGGTCCGTCTACGGAGGATAATCACGTCCGTCTTCTCCATTCGCCCTGGTCCTTCTAAGGAAGATTTTGCAGAGATTGTTGTTGAGTGCTCTCTCGTGCCTCTTCGCCCTCCTCCACCCATGGTCATCGGCACAAGCGCCTCAGACAAAATCCTTCCCTCTCTCCCCTCCACCCCTAGCCCCGCATCCTCCCCAGTTGAGAGGCGCGAAGATGATGCGCGCTCCGCGCATCGTTGCCTGAGCCGTAAAAGGGTGCCCGTCTGCAGGGTGGCGGCGCTAGGAAGCCGCGCGTCGCGCGGCGCGCATGTCGGGTCGCGACCTGCGACCCACAGTGCATCCGCTTGTGCGCCCACAGTGGGTCCACTTACCGGCCATGGATCCACGCTGGCGTGTGCCATCCTCCAGCGAGTGCATGTCGCCGCCTCTCATGTCTCTTCGAAGGCATTTACAGTGAAACCGCCTGTGGGTCCACAAGTGGATCCACTGAGGATCCACTTCAACGTCTGAACGGTTGTTTTCTCGGGGAGCGACCCGCGACCTGCGCGACCTAGCCTCTCTTACGATGCAAGTCCTGGGAGATTCAGTTCAGCATCTGTGCTGGTGTATCCGAGGTCGAAGAACAGGCCTTAACCGGCATGGTACCGAGAACTCCCGCTTGACCTGATCTGGCGTAGTTCTGTGCTTGATCCGGCTCCATCTGGCTCAATAGCCCTTCAGTCCCGCATGATAGCCCGTAGTCGTTCCCACGAAGACCCAGGGCTTGCCTCCCAACTTTCTCTCAGGACCGTATGTGCGTCGGCCCCCCCCCCCAGGGGCGACGCGCGCGCTCTGAATTCTCATAGCGTGCGTATGGTCGGTGGCGGGCTCTTTCTGGCCATACCGCCTGGGCGACGATATGCAATGACATGGTTATGCGACAGTCGGACCGAGGTACAGGATCGAGGTCGGTTCGGGGAGGGTACCCTCATGTTCTCCGTGCTTGTTGGATAATCCTGCGCACCCTGAGGAGGGTTCCCTAGGATGGTGTGTGTTTGTGTTTTGGCCAACGGAGGGTCTCATGCTGTATCGGAGGTTGGGGGGTGAGATCGCAGTGGAACGGAGACCCCCAACCGGGAAATCGTTTCGTTTCGTTCGTGTCGTGCGTGTGGGCGAGGCGATGCTGCGTGGGCGCGCGAGAGGAGTGAAGTTGCCATTGCTAGGGCGAAGTCAAGACAAATGTTGCCCCCCCGTCCGTCCGTCCGTCCAGCGGTGGGCCTAGCGCTGTCCCGCGGTGTCCCGTTGTGTCACGTGGTGTCCGCCGTTGCTAGGGCGAAGTCGAGACAAATGTTTCTCCCCCTCCCGCCCGTCCAGCGTTAGCTCGCGGTGTCCCGCGGAGTCCCGTGGTGTCCCGTGGTGTCCCGTAGTGTCCGCCGTTTTTAGGGCGAAGTCAAGACAGATGATTCTCCCCCGCCCGCCCATCCGTCCGTCCGTCCCGTGGTGGCTCGCGGTGTCCCGCGGTGTCCCATGGTGTCCCGTGGTGTCCCGTGATGTCCCGTTGAGTGAGATTGATAGTGAGATCGATTTTGAGATCGATACTGAGATCGATGTGCTTCCCCGAAGTGTCCCGTGGTGTTCCGTGGTGTCCCAAAATGTGAGATCGATAGAGAGATCGATAGGTGTCCCGTGGTGTCCCGTGGTGTCCCGTTGAATGAGATCGATAGTGAGATCGATAGCGAGATCGATATTGAGATCGATGTAGTGTCCCGTGGAGTCTTGTGGTGTTCCAAACAGTGAGATCGATAATGAGATCGATAGTGAGATCGAGAGGTGTCCCGTGGTGTCCAATTGAGTGAGATCGATCGTGAGACCGATAGTGAGATCGATGTGGTGTCCCGAGGTGTCCCGTGGTGCCCCGTGGTATCCCTTGGTGTCCCGTTGAGCGAGATCGATAGTGAGATCGATCGTGACACCGATAGTGAGATCGATGTGGTGTCCCGCGGTGTCCCGAGGTGTCCCGTGGTGTCCCGTGGTGGCCCGTGGTGGCCCGCGGTGTCCCGTTGAGTGATATCGATCGTGAGACCGATAGTGAGATCGACAAGTGTCCCGTGGTGTCCCGTGAGATCGATGGTGAAATTGATTGAGTCAGATGTTGGTCCCCCCCTCTCACCCCCTCACCACCTCCTTATCACCCGAAGGGTGGTAGTATAGGTATAGGTGCGACTGTAAACATATATATGTATACACATATATATATATATATACACATTTATAAATGTGTGTGTGTGCGAATGTACAAATGTGCCTCTGGTCTAGGTCTGATTATATATATATATATATGTAGACACGTGCGCTTCTGAAATCCGCATCCAGGGAGGACGCACAGTACTGGTTGGCCCTTTGCGTCCCAGGGAGCAGGGACCGCCTGTGGCCCAGAATCGGGAACGATCTGGCGGTCGGAAGGCGTCCGATCGTTCAAGGTTGAACGACCCACGCGGCTTCAAGAAGCCACCGCTGGGGTCGTCACGACACGAACCTGCCGTGGAAAGACCACACTTCTCGACACTCTGGGCGCGGGGCTGCCGAGCGGGTAGAAGCCGGCGAGTGTGAGGGGCCCGTTCCCATACACTCGACGTCGTGCTTTCACGAGACGTGATTCGGTAGCAGATCATGGACGCCTGGAGTGTCTTCGGGATGCTGTCTTTGGAGTGCATTCGCGTGCGCTAGCGCCTGGTAGTTCAGAGAAAACGCCGACTGAGCGTCGATTGGCGTCGACTGGCGTCGAGTTGCCGCAGAACGACTCGACCCTGCCGTCGTTTCTCTCCGCCGGTAGGCCTTGGGTGGGACCGCGCTCCTCTCCGCGCAGCGCGCGCAGCGCAGCGCGCTTCCTGTAGGCAGCACCGCTGGACTGGACGGCGACGCGGTGGCCCGGGCGCCGCAGCCGCGCTCGCCCCGCGGCTGGGGCGTTTGGCGTTGGGCGTTGGGCGGGGGAGGGGCAGGGGGAGGCGGAGGAGGGGAGGGAGGAGGCAGACAGAGGAGGGGGGAGGGGGGGGGGCAGGGGGAGGGGGGAGGAGGAGGAGGAGAGGAGGAGGAGGAGGAGGAGGAGGAGGAGGAGGAGGAGGAGGGGAGGAGGGGGGAGGAGGGGGAGGAGGAGAGCCGCAGGAGGAGCAGGAGCCGCAGGAGGAGCAGGAGGAGGAGGAGGCGGAGGCAGAGGCCGAGGATGAGGAGGAGGAGGAGGAGGAGGCGGAGGAGGAGGCGGAGGAGAATGAGGAGGAGGAGGAGGAGGAGACGGAGGAGGAGGTGGAGGCGGAGGAGGCGGAGGAGGGGGAGGAGGAGGCAGACAGGGACGAGGAGGGGAGTGGGGGAGGAGGAGGAGGAGGAGGAGGAGGAGGAGGAGGAGGAGGAGGAGGAGGAGGAGGAGGAGGAGGAGGAGGACGAGTGTAAACCCAAGAGTCATCAACGATGTTGGAATTAACCCTCCCTCCAAGCTCCTCTTCATAGGCCCGTACAACGGTTCATTTCTGTTGAGGGAACCGCCTCGTCGGAAGACAACCGCCTGAAGCATGCCAAAACATTGTTCTCGGAATTTGAACGCCTCGTATCAACCTGACTGCTGCGTTTTGGCGATCCGGAATCGTGCCAGAACGCCGTTGATTTGGATTTCAACACCGCCAATCAACATTATTGTTGCACCCGCATAGTCCTGAATCATTCCAGAGCGCGAATTTGGTACGTTGATCATGGGAGCCCGTGAACCTCTTGCAACGTGTTAAACAGAATGCGCGCGGCGCTAAGGCGAGGGGCACATTTTGAAAATGAACCGCCCTCAATCCGTGAAGCTCTTACAACTGTTTACAAATAATGTGTGTGGCGCTAATGCGAGAGCCACATTTTGAAAACGAGCCCGGCATTAATCCGTGAACTTCTTGCCTTGTTTCAAATATGATAAAACGAAACGTCGCGGCGCTAAGGCGACAGCCACATTTTGAAAACCACCCACCCTCAATCCTTGAAACGTTTGATGCTGATGATGATGATGATGCTGATGATGATGATGATGATGATGCTGATGTTGATGGTCATGCTGATGCTGATGCTGATGCTGATGATGATGATGATGATGATGCTGATGATGATGATGATGATG